GATTACGGTGCATAACTTAGTATAAACATTGAAACAAAATGTAGATTAATTATTGAGATATTTATACCATCTGAACAAGTAAAGTGTGAGTTAACTAACTAACAAGAATAACACTGTTTAATTCCTTACAGTATAGACACAAAGTTGACCTCAGATACGATTGATTTGACATATATAGTAGTGTTAAACGACAATTAAAAAGTGAACCGAAAAATATTTTGTATTAATGCCATATTTGTTAAGCTAATTATCAGGAAAAATGTGACTTTAAGCAAACGGAATTGGAAAAAAAAATGGTGAGAGATGAAAAAAGTCATAAGTGAATTATCTAAAGTGTTGAAATCGTATCTAATACTAAACTGTATTCAAAGATTTTAGAACACTGTCTTAGTATCTCGTCTGATTTGGTGATTTATGGCTTAACTTTCATGTTTAACGAGAAAATATGAAAATCGCGTATATCATGTGACTACGCATTTCAATATTAGAATAAAGCTTGATTATTTTTATATATACCGCATAACGAATAATAACAAACGAAGTAGATGGGTCTGGATAGAAGTGGCCGATACTAAAAAGCTAACATATTTTAATATGCAATGATAAATAGCTTGAGTAATCTTGATAAAACAGTTCAATGACTGTATAAATAATAAGAAAAATATCATACGTTTGAAATAAAACGCTACTCTTTGAATGAAAATAAATTACTAGTCTGGACATTTTACACACTCAATTTAAAGTAAAATAGGATAGTGATTACCGAAATACTATCGTCATTATGTTACATTTCAGAAAAACAAGACTGACCAATCATCATATTAAAGTTTACCAGTTATATAAATAATAGAAACGTCATGATCCATCTTGACAATTACGAATATGAGAGCTAAACCAAATACTTCCAACAGTTAATAATATTGTATTGAATATCATAAGATGTTATTTTAAATTCAACTCTTAATTAACACGGTAAAACTTAATTTGAAGGAACAATCTGGCCCCCGAATGCCCTGGTACGGTCAAGAGTGGGGTGAGTCCGCTCTCCCTCTCGAAATGCTCTCACACGGCCGCGCGTATACAGCCTCTGCCAGGGAAGTTCTACTCATTGCCTTCTCGTGGCGGGGGTGTTGTTTACGAAAATGAGAGGACGAAAAGCGAATGTCCGGCGCTTTAACCGGATTCCAAATCAATGGTGCACATGGGCTCCAGTATCCTGCGGGAACAAATGGCGTATGAACCAATCGTTGGTCACCGGCTACCATGGGATTGCATCTCCTTACGATGCTCCACTGCCTTGTGGATTAGACCTTTAGGTCAAAGGCTCGGGGAGTGGCCCCCTAAGATAACCACCTGCTTTGGTTTAGGCACCCGGGCAGTATCACAGCCACACACAAACGATGAACTCTATGTCTATGGCAACTACTTTTCTCGCTCCGAAAAACAATCAATCGATTCAAATAATTGTCATTACTATTATTGTCATTATTAATACTATTATTATTACTATTATTGTCATTATTATTATTATTATTATTATTATTATTTTCCACATTATTCACCCTCTTTATACTTATACAGCGGCTCGTCTTTGGTGGGAATCCGACTGTATCTAAACGTTCTCGAGTCACTGTCCGGTCGAAAATTGTATGTTACCATCGAATATGAGTACTGAAGCAGTTTTTCTGAAACCACGTGCACCATTCAAACTGGCTGCCTTCAACGTTCGCACACTTATGCAGGTCAGACAACAGATAGGGCTGGCTATGTCTTTGGAAAGCCTTAATAGTGATGTTTGTTGTCTATCCGAGACCCGTATTCAAGACTCTGGCGAAGTACTACAAATTCGCTCTTCATCTGTCGCTTCGAAAAGCTTGTTCTACGTGCGCTTATCCGGGGACCCTGTGGCATCTTCGTCTGGTCTTGGAGGCGTTGGTGTCGCACTAAGCGCTAGAGCTGAGGCAGCACTAGTCGATTGGATCCCCATTAACAGTCGGTTATGTGCTGTTAGATTAGAAAGTTCCATCAAAGTGAGAAGAAATCGGCGTGAGAAACGATGTCTTTTCGTCATCTCCGCCTATGCCCCGACAGATTGCAGCCCGGATGCAATCAAGGATGAGTTTTACCACCAGTTATCAGTTCTTCTCCAGAAAGTGCGTTCGACAGATATTGTAGTACTAGCCGGAGACTTGAATGCTCAGGTCGGGTGTCTAGGCACAGAAAAGAGTCGTTTAGGTGGCCGATGGGGACTCGTTGGTCGCAGGTCAGATAACGGGGACCGTCTACTGCAACTGTGCACAGACCACAACCTGTTTCTGGCTAGCACTAACTTTCGGCACAGTCATCGCCGATGTGCCACCTGGCGTCCTCCCTCTGCATCCCAAGCCTGGACTCAGATTGATCACATCGCGATCAGCTACCGCTGGCGTGGTTGTGTAAAAGACTGCCGCTCCTTTTGGAGTACCTATCTGGACTCTGACCATGCCTTGGTCTGCGCCAATCTTGCCTTACTTTTCAGTGGACAACGAAGTGAACGCCATCAACGGATTGATGTTAGCAAGCTGGTTGCAACTTCTGTTGCAAATAAGTATCGAACCGAGCTAGCCTCTAGGCTAGCTATCACTCCACCGAAAAGTATAGATGAGCATTGGTTGCAATTGCATGACGCCATGAAAGTGGCGGGAACAGTCAGTTGTGGGTTTGCGAAACGTCCCGCTTTTAAGCACTGGGTTTCTTCTGGTTCCTTACAACTCATTGAAGCCCGTCGGTCTACTCCGGGTGACCGTGAGTTTGACCATAAACGAAGGATGTTACGTAAGGAAATTGGGCAAAGCTTGCGTAAGGACCGAGAAGCCTGGTGGTCGAAGCGTGCTAATGAGCTGGAAGCAGCAGCTGCATCTGGTAACTACCGGAAGCTCTTCCAACTCATCCGAGCCACTGGCAGCAAGACGTCTGGTGTGAGTGAAACAATCTGCGAGGATGATGGGATGCCAATCACTAACATCCGTCGACGTCTTGGACGATGGGCAGAATTTTTCGAAGGGCAGTTCAACTGGCCTGCTGCTCCGGCAACATCGGTCAGACTGTCCTGCCCTCCATGGCCGGTGACGACTGATCCACCAAACGAGGAGGAAGTCCGCAAGGAACTCCAACTCTTGAAGCGTTACAAATCACCTGGCCCAGATGACTTACCTCCGGCTCTTTTTAAAGATGGTGGTGACTTTTTGACTAAGGAATTGACGACGTTGTTTACAAAGGTTTGGGAACTAGAGAGTGTACCAACGTCATAGAATGAGTCGAGAAAGATTGACTCGCGAGGAGCAGGCTGGGTTTCGTTCTGGTCGAGGATGTATTAATCATATCTTCGCCCTCCGCCAAATGTTAGAACACCGCCATTCTTATCAAAGGCCAACGATCGTAGTGTTTCCTGACATCAGGGCTGCCTTCGATTCGTTGGACAGGACTGTTCTCTGGGATTGTCTATTGAAGAGGGGTGTGCCTGAGAAGTTTATTAACATCCTAAAAGCCCTATATACAAACACCTCAGGCAGAGTGAGGGCATACAACCACCTCTCTCCATTGTTCCATTCGAGTAGTGGGGTTAGGCAGGGTTGCCCAATCTCACCATTCCTTTTCAACTTTGCCATCGATGACATTCTGGAAACAGCTCTGATGAATGTAAGTAATGGCGGTGTGGATCTGTTGCCTGGAGAAAGACTTCTCGACCTTGAGTATGCGGACGATATTGTCTTACTGTGTGATAATGCCCAAGGCATGCAATCCGCACTTAGTCAGTTGACAATCAGTGTCCGTAGGTATGGTATGTGCTTTGCACCTTCGAAGTGCAAAGTACTTCTACAAGACTGGCAGGATTCTAATCCTGTACTCACCCTGGATGGTGAGCAGATAGACGTAGTCGAGAAGTTCGTGTATCTGGGTAGCTGCATAAGTGCTGGTGGGGATATGAGTGATGAGATCACTTCATGTATAGTGAAAGCCAGAGCAGCTTACGACAATCTGAGCCTTGGGGCCTTCATGATGTTAGTCTGGCTGCAAAAGGTCGGATCTACAACGCGTCGGTGAGAGCAGTTTTGCTCTATGCTTGTGAAACCTGATCTCTCCGAGCTGAGGACGTTAGACGACTCTCTGTGTTCGATCATCGCTGTCTCCGAAGGATTGCTGACATTCAGTGGCAACACCATGTCAGTAATGCAGAGGTTCGGCATCGTGTGTTCGGGCACAGAGGTGATAATTCAATTGGTGTCACCATCTTGAAACACCGACTTCGGTGGCTTGGACATGTTCTACGAATGTCGTCCCAGAGAATTCCACGTCGTGCATTATTTGCCGACTCTGGGACTGGTTGGAAGAAGCGGAGAGGTGGTCAGTGCATGACATGGTGTCGTGGCATGAAAGAAAGCTGCAAAGGACTGGCTTGTGTCGGTCCTTCACGACTCCCTGGTTGGGGTCCGAGAGATGGTGCTACACAGTGGCTAGAGACGTTATCAGATATGGCTCAGAATAGAAGCCAGTGGCGATCCTGCTGTAACCTTCTTTTACTTTCTTCATAAAAAGTGGTTGTGTCTCCCTTACCTGAAAGATTTCTTCCGATTGTACCTTTGCGTTCCCTGTTTACTAGCACATTACCTTACACCAATCTCTTCGTTATTGTTCTCTCTTTTTTTGTTGCGCTCCTTAGCTTTTTTTCTTTCTTTGTATTCCTCTTCGAATATTCATTGTTCTGTGTGGCTCATATATATTGGCGCTCTCTTGTACCAATATTCATGTGTCCAAATAAATAAATAAATAATCTGTGGTCAATCATTGAATAAGTAGCGTTACGCGATGTGCACAACATTAGAAAATGGCATTAAAAGTTAAGTCAAACAATAATAATCATCATCACTGAACAGTCCATTTATGTGTATAAGTCCGATAATCTTGCATTATGATGAAAGTAGTTGAATTATCACAATAAGTAAAATAACAAGGAGACTTACACAGCGTTAGTTATGAATACTGTAGGTAAATCCACATACTTCCAAGATGATGCACGATATCGCTCAACAAGGAATTGAAACAGTGATTCCTCGGTCTCTGGAGTTTTACCTAATTCCAATTCACCTGTTGAACTCTGTGACCAACAGGCAGGACATAAATAAGACGGTGGGAATTGAATTTTAGGTGCAGTTGGATCTTCTGATGGTTGACCAGCTAAATGTTTATTTACACGATTATGTAATATATTCAACCATAATACAGTATCTCTAGGAGTCTCTGGAGCTTTAGGTAAAGTAGGAATAACTGATTCATTAAGCACTAATTCATGTGGATTAGGAGTAACACGATTTTCCGGTAAGACAGATTCCCCTGGTCTTACTACGTTTGCTGTATTCAATGCAAAATGAAATGCACAGTATGAGCATGAAAAGAACTGAGGGACGAAACGATTTAAAGCATGAGCGACTGAATCTACTTGATGGTCTAAAACAGAAAAACAAAGGACATTTCAACATTTTCATTTTGATAAGAATGAATTATTCAGACGTGAATAGTATACTTCATAATAAATATTTATATTTCGTCAAACCTATCAAAAACACTTATTTTATCCAGATTTGTAGAAAATGTCTGATGATTTACTGTAGAATATTATTACCCTCCTAAATACCGGAGTACAATACTTTTCATACTAGTTTCATTCGGCTAAAAATAATTTGGAATTAGTTAGAAACAATATGGAAGATACTATTAGTTAACTTTCACTGCTTCTACCTTATGAGTATACTAAGTGAACAGAAAAAATTCAAATTAACAAGACTTATTAATAATTTACGAGTTTCGTTCTTAAGTTTAAAGTCATGTCTTTTATGTGAGAACTAATAGTCATACACTGCACTTTAAAGTTAATGTAGTGAACTTCAAAACCAAAGATTAATTTATATACTAAAGAAAATAACCTAATTTAGAGGGAAATAATTTTTAAGCAAAAAGATAAAAGCTTGAAATACATTTTATCTACTTTAACTTGGACAGTTCATAGATTGTACAACCAGTTCTCATATTGAATGTTTGACTTCCAGTTGAATCTACTAAGTGAGTTGCATTAGCATAGTTTTTCAAACGTTAAAGGACTTACCAGAATATTACATGTACAAATTATTATCAGCTTACCATCTGGTTGGGTAAACTTAACATGTACAAATAGAATGCATTAAATCTATAAAGGCAAGACAAGTGGATAAAATCGCAACATTTATCCACTTGAAGATTTCGTACACTCAAACAATTGACACGGGGATAATAAAAAATCTGATTTTTAAGCATACGTTTTTATGATAGTAAATATAAATATTGACTTTTGAAAAAAATTAAGTTAAATATTAACCTGGACCGGAGGATGATAACAGATATTGCTCTACCGTTAATGCATGAAATAAAGTCCATAAACCGCATGGATATCCTCGAAAATGTGGTTTGCTTCCATTACATGCTATAAATGGTCCTTTATATGTAGGGAACTGATAGAGATTAAAAAAGGGACAGTAAATAAATTTCGTAATTAGAAAGCATGAAACGAATAAAGTTCATATTACATCATAAGGAAACGAAATGAACAATTCATAATAATATAGAAATATAGTACATTTTCTCTGATATTCTCTACAAGATAATAATTCCTTTTACTGTTAAACATCTGTGTAAATATTTTGTTAATTTATTTAATATGAAATTTAAGAAAACTAAATAAGAATTCTAAGCACAGACTGACTACATTAAACAGATGAATAGCTAATAACATATATAAGTTGATTATATATTACAAACAGTACTTAACTGAACAATTACTAAATTATATATACTTCGGCAGATAACTTTGTTTTGACCTAACGTCTTGTTAATGCATAGTTTTATCACCTAACTTAGCATTTACCTAAAAAAACAATACTAATCAAAACAGACCAGAAATTCTAGATTTCATTGCAAATTATGAATAAAATATAAAAGCCTCCATATTCTTCTTCAAGAATGAAAATTTTGTTAGATTTACGTCATTTTAATTATACCTAAATACCTAAGCCAATATTTTATCTGGCTTAAATTAAACAAAAAATGATCTGAATTGTATTCATATCTATATAATCACGTCAGTTAGCATAAAATCAATTTTGGACTGGATAGTTATGTCAGAGAATCGATTTTTTATTTGGCCTACATAATTTATACTTAAACTGTAATAATAACAATAGTAATAATGGTAATAATAATAATAATAATAATAATAATAATAATAATAATAATAATAATAATAATAATAAAGTATACTGATATAAGAGTCCCAAAATTCTGTGAAAAATAAACTTTTCCTGAAATTCTATCTAATTTTCTCTGCATATTTATTATTCCCTTATTTTAGTGAAATAGCTTCTAATAAGAATATGAAGGAAGATTTGCTTTATCTATTGATTTACATATTGTTGTTTCTTTTTAAATATGAACCTGAAACTGTTGTAATGTAGGACTTTTATAAATATCAGTAAACTGCACTATAAAAAACTTAGGTGTGAGTATGCTTCTAATTATATACTGAAATAGGTTATTAACACTTCGGGATCATAACTAATAGAACTAAAAAATGTATACTGAGATTTATTATCAGATTGTATTATTATGTCATTCGATATGTGTACGCGATCAAATGGAAACAAACGTTTTCCCTTTTCAAATATGTCTTTTGTTAGTCCATGAAACTAGGTTTTTCTGAAAATAAATTGATAAGGCATAGTATCTAGCGGCGGAGGTAATACATAACGTGGAAATAAACAGATGCTGACAGAACATACTTGAATTCCTTCAAGATACGCAATCCATTCTTGACCCGTAATACTTGTTTTAGAATTTAACCAAACGGAAATTTCAGACAGGTGAGCTTTATATTCCTGAGAAGCCGGAAGAATCTTGAATCCAGAGAAAATAAAATAATTAAGAAATAATTAAAAGAATATAATGCTGCCCCTGTGTTATACATAATATTTATACTGTGGAAATCCTTTGAAACTTAAGTAGACGAATGTAGCCACTGAATTTTGATTCACTGGTGTTTAAAGCATGAAATTTTCTAGACTAATGTTCTAAAACATTGTTTGCCTACCACTTCCCAGAAATGAAAAAGAAACACAGAACTTCATGAACAATTTATTCCGTATAAAAAATTTCCTGTAAAGATAACTCGTTATTTATTTCTGGTGCCTCTATCCAAAGAAACATGGGATAATCATTCAGATAAAAACCCGTTAATCCTAATTACTGTGGTAAGGAAATTTTTCATTTATAATTGGATTCCCAAAGCGGAATAACTTAAATTGAGATATGGTAAAATATTCACTACTAAACAGTCTGTACATCAAAACCTCAACTAGGAAATATAACTTTTGTTGACTTTAGATTTGAGCAATAGGCATATTTGATCGATTGATATGATCTAGTTCGAAAATATTGTCAATCATAATCCAGAAAAACTATCAAAATAAAATGAAAACAACCATGATAGTTTGTCGTCTCACGGCACTCAACCTAACTCAATCTCTTACATAAGAATAATTAATATTCGTCTATATTCGTTTAAATAACTTCTACATCATGAAAATTCGTAACAGTAACACAAGTGATCACTAGTGCTACAGTAATAGTGATAATACCATCATTTTGTTGCCAAATAGAATAATTTATTGCCTGCATTGTAAAAATTTTGCAGAAGAAATATCATCTTATGAAAATAATTATCATTAGTTAGTTGGTTGTGACCAGTTTCCATTATATGCGATAGGTACTGTAAAAATTAGTAAATTATTCATCGAAATTAAAAATTATTTTGTTAGTTTGCATAGAATGATCGGTCACCATCGTTACGCAAAAATAAACAAGTAAAATAAATATAACTACTAATTAGCAGTTAGGATCTGATATGCAGAAATGTATGAAATGTTAATAATGACGGTTTTATGACAGTTTATATTCCAAAAGTTACTACATATGTACATATTTAGGACTTAAAAGTTTTTAATATCTAAATTTGATCTAAAGAGACATTCATGATTATGCATTGCATAAATCGCTGTCAATATTCAAAGATTCTTAATGTTGATGTTCGACAAAGATCTATTTGAGGTTTTCAAAAAACGGTCAAATTCAAGTCGCCAGAGTATGTAGTCGAAAATTTTGAGAATTAGAATCACACGACAAAACAAAAAGAAATGGTAGCTATTTTCTCATTGTGATTAAATCAAATGTACCGATAATAGAAGCTTTTACCAGATGGAAGATTATTTTATGATAAAAACCATGGCCCATCATTTTCTAAATACTTTTTCCACCTGATGTTAATCTATGAGCAAAACAATTATTCACAGCATAATAGAATATGATTGAACTGTACTAAGTTGATAATTTCAAACTTATTGATTGATACTATTTTATTTGACTTTGAGTATTAGTAATCCTTCACTAATGATCAAAATTATGATAGGACACCCAATCAATAGTACCATTAAGCCTCTAGTAGTACGCTGGCTAATGCTGATTGACTTGAGGTAGATAATATTTCAAAAGAATAGTTCAAAAAGCAATAAGTTTGAGATTAGTATATGTTATTTAATCAATCAAAACTTATTTTCGGCATGTTCACACTTTTTAGAGCTGTAAAAATGTTTTTCAACAACGTACGATGACCTGCGGAAAACACAAGTGGTAACACTAATTGTCGAAATAGATAATACAACACGCATTGATACAGTGAATTAAGACATATTTATTTAAAATCAATCGAAATAAAAAGTGAAGAAAATAGTGTGTAACCATTCTGCCAATCTCCAGTCATCTGATAACTTTAATAATGTACGTCTTACACATAGATGGATGATCAGTAGATATATGTCAATTATTTACAATATTTTGACACTTATTGAACTTAAATTTTGGACGAAGTATAAATACGCTTTAAATTTTATCACTATACTCTCATCAAGTCAATCCATACAGTTCAGTGATTTCAACTTTTATTACCGAAAGACTTTCAAATGAGTTTATCATATGAGTAATTTTTAAAATACTAATGTCTGGACGGAATTGTCTTGCATTACTGTGGTAAAAAAGTGTAAGAATTAAGAAGGCTGTTAGTTACTATTATTTAGTGAGAATATTATTATTACAGTTTCAGGGCATGACGGATTATCATCAGACGGACAAACAACCATAAAGATTCGGCGAAAATAAATTTATTGAAGAAAAAAGTTATATTAATCACTGATACTCTAAAAAACAACTTAGGCCCTGTACAGGACTGTCAGACACGTAAGATTTGTCATCCTTTCTTTAGTGTTCAATTAAAATGTGAAATTGAATATTTTTGGGCATACACGGTTATTTTTAACACAAAATGAAGGTGTTCCATTACCTTTTTTAAAACCCTCTTCACTTAAAAGTGAAAAATAACCAAAACGTGAGAAGTAAACTAATGAAATTTTAGACTTTTATCCTTTGTGGAAGAATGATACTTAGAGTAAAGGAGATAATTACACATCATTTCATATTTACAATAATCACTTTATAAACTACCTCCAACAAATTCGATTGAAGCAAGAACAATATATATGGTAGAATCAGACAAATCAATTCATTCCCGATTTTTCTATTCAGCTGCTTACAACCCGGGAACAATAGTAATAGTTATCTAGAAACAAGTTTATACTTTATATTGCTATCAATGAAGAATCATAGAATAACAGCGATAAGTATGGAAGAATGTGTAAACTCTATGGGGAAAAACTCATATATACTGAGAATTAATCCGGTGAAATACTGTTCTAGTTATTATAACGAACACTGTTTTTGGTTTAAAACTTACCTCATATAACATGTCCAAAAATTCTTTAAGAGCTCCTAAGGCTGGTCCCTCAATTTTATCACGTGCACCAACATCAGACTGTAGTAGCATACTTAGTGACCGATAGATATCAACCGCGTAAACCGGTGGATATTTAACTTGGATTGGTGTTGTTTTAACATCTCTATAACAAATTTTTTGAGAAATACTGTAATAATATATTGATCAATGACCGCTTAAAAAATACCTCCACAATGTATTCAGCTGATTTATTGACAAAAGTATTATCAAGGAGAATCAACATCAGTTTATGACATAAACTTATATCCAAGTTACTGGTGAAAACACTACTTTCAGGCTAGCTTCATCAAACCTTTTATACAGAATAGTAAAATACAGAAAAAAGTATTTGTATTTCAGATGTGTTTCACCTCAAGTGCCTGTCGACAGTGAATTTATCACATGCAACGTTTACATGACTTGTGACTACCTACATATATTAAATTGTTAGATTCGTATATCTTTTTACCTTAGACTCCTTGTTCTGTGTTCGATTTTATTTACCATTAGTAAAATTTCAAATATATATATATATATATACTGGACGTTCATCCCCTCCGTTTGGGGACCAATTTGTTTGTAGTTCACGTAAGCCAATTACTTTAAAGTAGTTGAATCAGAAAGTGGATCTTGCTCTGATCCTATGCATTTCCATTTAGTACAAATAATTGATTAAAGACCATGTAATTTAAAGTTTTAGCTTTGAGAGCCCAATTATTCCAGTCAAACTCATAGCCAGCGATCAAATAATACAGTAAACCAACTAATCAGCACATCTGATCGGCATAAATAAGTTTTAAGTGTTTTTTTACCCCTCCCCCCAAAGGACTATTCTGTTCAAACTGTCAACTTTAACATTGTCAAGTACATCTACTTGTCACTTTAATCCTAAGTCTCCAAATTATACCATAAAATTCCTCGTACCACTAATCTTTTTCCTCTCGAATCATATTTTTATGCGCAATCTTTCTTATTGTCATTAATGCTGTAACTGTGTCTACCACTCTAGGATTTGCCCTAACTTCATCTCGTTTCGCCAACAGGGTGTGGCAACTTAAACTGTTTCACATATGCACCAGGTTTTATGTTAAGTATGATTAATTGACTGAGTGACGTAACAAATTACTATCCGATAATAATGGGGTTTCCGACTAGTTGTACAGCAGTAACATCAAGCCATAAATTCAGAAAAATGTTCCACTTTATTCTTTCAAGACTTTACGAAACCAAGTTGGTTTTTGATAGGCATATGAACAGACACATAAAATTAGCATGATTAGACATAGTTAGGAACTCACATTTCTGGCTGACTGTTTTCTTCCAAACTTGGTTCACTACCTGCGATTCGTTCAAGTACCATCCTAACCTGTTCCTCGGGTCCCCTAATAAGTTTTATGAAAGTCAATATAAAGTAAAAAATACGTAGACGCTTTCATATTATTAAACATATCTAACAAGATTGTTAGTAGTAAACTATATAAACTTATTCTATTTATATAAGCTATGGAAAATGAATACAATAACTTTTGTTACAACAGAACGAAAGTTTTGAAAATTGAGACTGATTTTTCGAACTATTAATAACCATAGTTTTGTTGTATAATTAATTAGCAATTAAAATACTATATATATATATATATATATATATATATATATTCCATTTAACATATGCTTCCAGTTAAACCATTAGCTACTGTTACACGAGTTACCATTCCTAATTCAATGCTACTCTATCACTTATAGTCTTTTCTATTCACAGTCACCATTGGTTTGTTTAAGTAAAAATGTTATTTTCCATTTTATGGTGAGTTGTGGTCCAGTATTTCTGTATTCAAACTACGTCTGTTTAAAATATAGATATAAAAAGCGGTTGGTTGCTACTTTTGAACTCAAGGCAGTACATGGAAAAGAGCTTGTGAATGGCAGACCATCAGAAATTTAACTGCCGGCTCAAACTCGGTAGTACTGATCGTGCATGTAATCGGTCAATTCGTGGACACTAGGCTGTCTAGAAAATAGTAGACGCAAAATAAACCAAAATAAAATTAGGAATTTGTTTGACAAACTGACAAGTCATATTAGTCAGTAGTCTCAAAACATAATACTTTGTACGTTTGATCTTAAAATAATTAAACGATTCACGAAAAACTAAAATGAGGAACGGCTACTATTTAAAACCAACCAAAGTGCAGTTATATGCATAAAAAATTAGGTTGGACATACACCAATATTGAAAAGGTTGTCTTCGTGAATATTCATCTGCTGAATGGCTTAGTTAATAAGACTTGGACTATTTGGATTCATAAATAATCAAATTAAGAAGAAATATATAATCGCTGTCACACTTGTTACCATGGTCCACTTAAAGTCAGAGCTATGGGCAAGCAAAATTAAATCTCAATATCGACTATCAGTTTCCCCAAACTTTTAAATTTTCAGTGTCTCATTCGAGGAAAGATAAACAGTTTTAGGGAACCGTAAGTGAGTAACATTCTCGGTTGCTTTTTACTCGTCTTCTAGTCATACCAAATTATTGTTTAAAAATTTACCAAGATATGTATTTTTATGAAACTGTTCAGATTTATATTTGGCCTGTTAATGAAAAAAAATTTACTAAGGAAAATATTATGACTAACGGGTCAGTAAATGAAGTGGTTCATCCACCAGTAATTTACTATTCTCCAATTAATGCTAACGTTTACACTGAACTAAATGGAGTTATTTAAACATTATCAACCCATTAATTTTTTTAAGAAAAAAGTATTATAATAAAGACACTGGTGTAGTATTTGATATTTATAACTAGCGTATTGATGCAAATATTGAAAATTCACAAAACTGTGTACATATTGATGTAAGAGAATTCTACTTACTTAACAATTACTTCACCAGAAAGACGATTCGTGACATCTATTTCCTTTAAGCCTGGTTTTACTACGCTTTGGATCTCTCGTTTTAGAAGGAGACTATAATCCAGTAACAGCTTTAAAAAAAATACAGTAAAACGACGACATTAATCAGCCATTGAGGATTTAAGACATTAGAACTGAAACATGTCTACCAAGAATGAGGTATTTAAAGTCGGTTACATGTTTGAATTATTAACTTTTGACATGTAGCATCTTAAGCTAAAAATATGAACAACGAACTACGACTGACACCTAGATAAAGCATACTAAAGTTAATAATCCACTATAGTTTAGAGTAAAACTGTCATTTCAAAGTCTGTATTTAAGTACATACTTTATTACAATCACTTTACAAAGTTTAGCACCAAAATCCTTCAGAACTTTTTCTCACTAATTACCAAAGTGTATAGTCGCTTAATGTACTTAATATATGCAAAACCACTTTACCGAACTCAGCTTAAAAATCAATTCTTATGCCAATAACAAACTGGTTAGCGAATGTACCCATTTTTGTCATTATTTCGGCTTAGTTTACATTATTTTGCACTTTGTATCTTTTAAACTCACACATTTTGTAGTACATTAGTGATCAGCTTAAATGTAAGCAAATTTACAGTAATCGAACTACACACCTGTAAGCCTCACTAGTGTTATAGTTAAAATATGGGGAAGAATAGTCAAACGGACCATAATGGCATTTATGGAACCCAATAACTTGTCAAACATAGAACAATATGGTTTTAGAAAGGGTTTATCTTGTACAACGAACCTCCTTATAGCAAGGGAGTTTTGGATAAAGGCGCTAGACAACGAAAACTCAGTGGATGTTGTCTACATAGACTTCGGTAAGGCTTTTGACAAGGTGCCAACTAATAAACTGCTATTGAAGTTGGAAAACTTTTGTATTGCCGGACCTCTTTTAAAATGACTTAAGGATTTCCTAGTAGGTCGTAGACAGAAAGTAAGAATAAATTCCCAGTGCTCCATCTGGGGACCAGTACTTATTGGAGTACCTCAAGGTTCCGTCCTAGGTCTCTTACTTTTTATAATGTATGTTAATGATCTTCCAAGTATAGTACAGTCTCCAATATTATTATACACTGACGATGTAAAGACCTGGCGAGTAATAACTGGAGGCACAAACGCATGTGTTCTTCAGGCAGACTTAAATATGATTAGTTGGTCTAAAGAGTCACTGATGCTTATCAACGCGGCAAAGTGTGTCTACATGCACTTTGGGGATTCAAAGGTTAATAGGTAAAATATAGAAGTGCCATTACCCATGGTACGGTCTCATAAGGATCTAGGAGTGACAGTGAGTCATGATCTTAAGACGACGGTCCATTGCCGAGAGGTCACAGGGGATTCGGACCCTCTGAGCTTTAAAACGAACATTCACTAAGTTAGATACTACCATGTTCACCACAGTATACATATCCTTAGTGAGAACTAAGCTTGAGAACTGCGTTCAGGCTGCAAGCCCCTGTTTGAAAAGTGACTCGAATATCCTAAAAAAAACACAGAGGGCAGCTACCCGTGCAACTCCAGAACTCCGGGGTTTAGCATACAAAGAGCGGCTTGAAAAACTGGATCTCTTTACTCTGTCCTACCGCAGATTAAGGAGAGATCTAATTTTGATGTACAGAATACTGAGAAATGATTTTGGACCCAACTTATTCTCTTTTTCTCCCCACTAGATTGGGACATCTCAGAGGACATAGCAGGCGAGTAGAAAAGCCAAGAACGAACAAACTACCCGTGGCATACAGGTTCTCACACCGAGTCATCAATACTTAGAACCTGCTGCCCGAAGCAGTGGTGTTCGCACCTTCAATCAGCCCTTTCAAGAAAAGACCGGACATTGACAGAAGCATACTAGAAAAGGAATAACATAGGCCGTAGGCCTTCTGTCCTAACTACACAAACCTGAATCTGACTTCAGTTGTAATGTGACCTTTAAAATGGAAAGATTCGTTCAATATTTCGCTTGAAAGACATGATAATAGCAATTAGGTGTCTAAATCTGTTAAGCTACATGTAAACACTTAATTAAATGTTCAAGTCAGACAATCTACATAAAATTTTGAAATGGTCTCGTAACTCACCAGAGCGTTTACTTCTATATCACTACCTGTAACAATTATTGGATCATTAACTGCTAAGTCCCTATAAAAAGTGAAATTTCGTGTTTTTTACTTACCTTGGTAGTTGAAGAGCAGAGACATTTACTAACTTAGAGGCAATGCTTTTCCGCAGTAATGTCATGTTCCACTCAGCTGGAATTTCTTCGGACGTTTGTTTACTATTTTTCGTGGACAGGAACTGGGAAATAATTATAGAACAATATTTTACCCTAAGAGTGGGAACTCCTTGTACTTTGAAACGATAACATAAATCCATATTAGTTTCATCTTCACAATCCACAGATCCGAGATGAAGTGCCCAATTCCAATCTTCAAATAATAAGTAAAGTCACCTTAAGAATGAATATTGAGTTACTTTTTACAGAGCGGCAGAATTGGGAAAAAGGTTTAGAGTAGCTTATACAGTGTCCACAAGTCTTGCGATAGAAAATCACGAGCCAGATTCCCTCCGATGTTTTGTTGTCGAAATCTTCGGGATGAAGGACGGTAACACCTTCTATTTGGCTGTAGGCAAAACTGTGAACCGTTCGAAGAAGTATGTTTAAGATGAAAACGGTGACCAACATTACAGGCTTCAGAATCATATCAAAAAGTTATGAGTCAGACAGAAACACATCCACATTTCAAATCTGGCAACAATCGGCTTTTGAGGTCAACTGTTCCAATAATACTATATTTCAAAATGACTGTGATGACGATTTACAAAAAGACTGAAAGTTCCCCTATTCGTCTAACTTAAGTAAAAAAGTAACATTCAATAAGAAACAGTTAATATGGATTGCAAGAATACATGGGGTTTACTTTGAACATTTTCAAATTTCCAACCCTAAAATACTAAATAATGGATGTCTCCTAATGATAGTAAAGATGCTATGCATATCCTGAAATTGAGAGCAGCTTTTCCTGTAACACCATTTCAAGCAAAAGGATACGAGCCTAGTCAAATCAGAAACCAGGGATGAAGGATTTCGTAGATATATATGTCAGGTTATCGATATGTCGAGATACTTTTGATCTTTACTAGTAATGTCCACGGACTGTAGAATAAATTGAGGGAAAAGATTATGCAGTCCTCCTTCGATTCAATCAAAACCAAAGCCTGAATGGCACTCAGGAATAATTTGGACGCTTTTGCCGTTTCTTTTTGGTGAGTATCAATCATTAATAGATCACTCACACTTTGAAAGTCTCAGTTTTCCATCACCTAGGTTCACAATTATACATTTCCGCTGTTTGATCATAATCAACCTTCTTTGATTTTCATTAAAGGTGCTATATCCGGTATTTTCGATAATGTTTTCGTTTATTTAGTGATTCAGTACTGTTTATCAGCACAACGTTTGCTGAAAACATCGTTTCAATCTTCTTAGGTACTCTGGTAAAAAGTCATGTCCTTTTATACAGCATTCACTCACTAAATGAGAGGGGAAATGTTGGATAGTTCATTCATGTTCGTCGTCGAAAAGAAGATTCACTACAAGTCCAAAGACGCTTATTTTATTTTATCTATGTACGTCCACCCCTTTGATGACAGCAGTTGTTAGCATCCTAATTTGACGACGAATATCCATACGTGTATGTCATTATTTAAGCTAATATCATACGGCATATTTCCTGGCAATTACACACGAATGTTTTGTATCCATATCTGACATTCCTTGGAATCGCTTTCTTTATGGTCATTATTGCAGATATATGTTTAGACTTGTGGATACTCACACTTTTGACTACAACAAGCAACTCAGGTTTTCTTTGTATTTGCTCCGGTGTTCTTTCAGCTCATTTTTCTATCCTTCCTTTTGTATGTATCTCCCGGATTTCATTAGTCTATCACATTAAATTAAATTGGTCCAGATATGGTTTCGGAGATTTTGCAGGAAACGGTAGCGAAAAAACCCGAATAAATGGACTCTGCGAATAACAGACCACTAGTGACATTTTGAGCTTTTGGTAACATTAACGAAATAGTTGATGAGTACACAGAAAATGGACAGTGACAGAAACGACATAACTGATCACTCATTTTTCCTCATTACGTGTATCAAAACAGAGCGAAGAGTACAGATTATTGAAGGGCTTCAAGTATCCGGTGTAGCACGAAATATGAGTATACCCTTCGGGCATCTACATTACAAACTTCTGGATTTCTAACATGACTTAAAATAGACTTTGTAGCTGTAAATAAATCTCCAAAATAAATAGCTCTAAGTTTTCGACATTGGATGCTGACCATATGTTTTAGTGGATTCATCTAGCGCTCGGTCATGTATCCGCACCAGATCACGTGTGATAACGCTGTGCTCAACATCTACCGCAATCGCTAGCCAGATTAGATCAGAGAATTCCGATATATTAGTAGTCTTCAAATACACTCTTCCGATCTCCTCGACTCTGTCTTTTGATTTCTTTGGGTGGGAACGAAATATATTAGGTGTTACTGGTAGAAGCGTTGTCAAACACTGAATACCTGTGTCATCCTCATTGGTGAGACCGACGTGATCTGGTACACCCAATTGCAACTGTGAGTCTGTTCCTTTTTGGGATTTTTATATATTATTGCCTTATTTTTTATTTTTTATACATTGTGACTTTTTTTCTTGGATATATATATTTTTCCCCTCGTTCATTATCGTACCTCATATTTCATCATGACTGAACAGACACCCAAAGTTCTCAAGCTTAAGACTTTGTCCCCACCTTTGTTTCAACTGATGCCTTTCTGGCCCGACGATATCGAAGCCTGGTTCTGCTACGCAGAAGCCGACTTCTCCGAGCATGGTGTGATCGACACACGTGCACAATTCCTCGCAGTGATCAAGGCACTACCGCGCGAATTCAACAGTTACGTAACACCTAGTATGTTTACTAGTGATGTTTCTGAACCTTACGAAACCTTAAAACGTTCGATTCTTAAACGAGGAGACCTAACCGATCGACAAAGGTTAGATCAACTCTTCAATAACATCGACCTGCAACATGGTTCTGCGACGGACATGTTGCAACGAATGAGAGAGGTTATAGGCCTAAGGACTTTTGATGATGGCCTATTCAAACACCTTTTCTTGTATAAACCTCCCCAACAGGTGCAAGCGGTTCTGGTCTCATTTCAGAACCACACCTTTGACGAACTGGCTGCATCTACCGATCGTATCTTAGAAATTACGAAATCTTCTAGTACCGAGGTATTTTCAGTCAAAGAAAAGCCTCACACGACTCAGAATGACATAACCGAGTTATGTCATACACTCACGTGGTATCTTAATCTTCGTAACGACCGTAATCGCTCGCACACCCCACGTAGAAGCATTTCACGTAAGCGATCTGTCTCTAGACCACGAGAGACGGATAATCCCGACTGGTGCTAATATCACAACCAGCTACCTTGAAAGGTACAACTGTCTTTTCGAAAATCGACTTGGTTAAAGCTTATAACCAAATTCCCAAGGCCACTGACGACATTCCGAAAACCGCCATCATTACTCCCTTCGGACTCTATGAATTTCTGTGAATGCCTTTCGGTCTAAGAAATGCTGCTCAAGCATTCCAAAGATTCATAGACGACGTTTTTCGAGGTCTCAACTTCGTACATTCGTATGTTGGCGACTGCCTAATCGCAAGTCCGAACAGAGAATCACATCTCAAGCATCTGGATCTTGTTTTCGACCGACTACAAAACCACGGCATTACTGTAGACGTTCAGAAATGCTAATTCGGAACCGACTCGTTAGACTTCCTAGGACACACTATAGATGCTCAAGGCATTTTACCCCTTAGGACCAAAGTGGCGGCCATTCTGGATTACCCAGAACCGACCACCGTCAAACAGTTACGAACGTTAAACGGCCTTGTAAGTTTCTATAGACGATTCATACCGAAATACGCGTTACCAATGAAACCTCTTACCAACCAACTTCGTGGAAATGCGAAATCCATTAATTTGGACGACACCGCACGAAAAGCATTCTCCACAATTAAGGAACTCATCGCTAAAGCAACAATGCTTGCACATCAGGACACTCAAGAACCCATTAGCATCGCAGTAGACGCATCCGGCTCAGCAATTAGAGGAGTCTTACAACAATGGGTTAACAACTCCTGGCAACCTTCAGCATTTTTCTCTAGACGGTTGCTAGACACCGAATCGAGATACAGCACATTCTGTAGGGAACTCCTAGCTATGTATTGCGCTGTACGACATTTTCAACACTACATCGAAGGCCGTGAATTCACTCTTTTCACTGACCATAAACCACTCACCTTCTCTACTTCAGACAAGTACTCTCTCCGTGAGTCTCGACAACTGGACTATATTTTGCAGTTTACTTCAGACATTCAACACATCTCTGGAGCAAACAATGTAGTCGCAGACGCGTTGTCTCGAATAACTTCCTTGAATAGTTTCCAAGGAATCGAACTTCTTAAACTCGCCGAGCTTCAAAAAGAAGACACTGATCTTCAGCACGAGTTATCGTCTACAACACTCAAGTTACGTATCAAACAGATGGGAACAGGTAAGGAAATCTTACTGTGTGACACATCTACAGGTAGGGATCATATAGCGACTCACGTGCAAATGGGTTTATTTTCATTTAACCCAGTTAAGCCCTTTTTGTTAACTTATTTAGCGGACAAAACCATCCGCGCTACAACAATTTATTGTATCCTTATTATTATTTTGAGCTTGTATGAAATACGTATGCTTGAATATTGATTACTGCCTACGCATTTATTCAGTCTGCTAGTCTTACCACTAACCGCTTATTCGATTCTATTACTCATTCATTTCACATGATATATATATGTCCATGTTATTCATATTGTACACTCAATCGCTAACTCGCTCGCACGGTCTTGTCACGCTCTTGCTCTGGCTCTCGCTCGCTTGCTTGCCTTTCGGCACGACTCTTCTATGCTGGTTTAACACATCTGTACATTTGGCTATATGTGTGTGGTTTCGTAATAAACGTAATCGACACTTCGTATTTGCCTTCTGAGTAATATACCGTTGGTACGTTATATAGAACGGTTATCGCGACGAACTGTATACGAAGTTTAAGGATTATATCAAATACCGACCACCACAATCACCCAATCGTGCCGAAACGCTATCGACGCAACGTCTTCAACACATTGCACAAACTTTCTCATCCAGGTGTTCATACAATCATCAAGCTTATAGCAGAACGGTTTTGCTGGCCTGGCATGAATAAAGACGTGAGGGAGTGGGCACGCTCCTGTGTAAGCTGCCGAAAACCTAAGGTCATCGGACACAATAAATCCCCCTTAGGCTCGTTTAAAACTCCCGATGCTCGTTTCGATCATGTTCATCTGGACTTGGTAGGACCTTTACCAGATTCAAATGGATACTTTTATCTCTTAACCTGAGTAGACCGTCTCACTCGATGACTAGAAGCAGTACTTATCAAGGATATCACTGCTGAAACAGTGGCTCGCGTCTTCGTCGAACGATGGGTAGCAAACTTCGGCTACCCTTCAACTATCACTATAGATCGCGGACGTCAGTTTGAATCCGAACTTTTCCGTCGGCTGACCACGCTTTTAGGAATCAATCGCTTCCGAAGGACTGCCCACCACCCACAAGCAAACGGGTTGGTAGAACGTTTTCACCGACAACTAAAAACTTCGCTATCAGCTGCAAACGTTTCACAGTGGACCGACGCTCTTCCACTCGTCTTACTAGATATCCGCAATGCAGTGAAAGCTGACATTGGATACACTGCGGCTCAACTCGTTTATGGAACGACACTTCGACTTCCAGGAGAATTCGTGGATCCTTCATCCTCTTCAATGAACATGGATCT